GCTCCAGCATCAGTCCTGATGTTCTGCAGAAAGCTTTAGCATCAGTCCTGATGTTCTGCAGAAAGCTTTAGCATCAGTCCTGATGTTCTGCAGAAAGCTTCAGCATCAGTCCTGATGTTCTGCAGAAAGCTCCAGCATCAGTCCTGATGTTCTGCAGGTCATGAAGACGTCTCCACCTGGACTTCAACCATCTGAAGGTTTGTTCTCCACCTGGCTCCAGTCTTCAGTAGTAGTGTAGAGTAGTGTTAACAGTATCATAAGTTAAAGAGAAGTTACTTAAAAATATGGTCTATAAATAATTTGTAACATTTCATCATCACTCCACTGTATATTAATTATTGTGCTGCTGACCTGAGGCAAGGCAGCTTTATATAAAACATTTCAGCAACAAGACAAATCAGTGCTTTACACAAAACATTTTGACAAAGTGCAAAAGAAAAGAATATAGAAAAATAAATGCTCAAAAAAGACTATCATAAAAGCAGGGTTCTGTTTAAGAAATTGAATACTGTAAAATATTTTAAAAGATTAAATCAGACAGTGTTAAAGTAAAAATTGAATAAAATAACATATTTCATCATAAATCCACTATCTACTTTATTGTTGTACTACATGACATGAATGCCAAACTTAAAAGCCTCCAAATGCTTTTCCCTTCAGCAAATTGTTGTGTTTATAGAGTTCATCTGGTCCCAAATCAGGCAGTGGTCATGTCCCCCTAGTGGTCTGGCTTAGTTACTGTTTGCAATTGATCTTTTCGGTATTCCATGCATAATGTCTGTTATTTTGACAGGTAAAAGAATTGTACTTGTAAATTTGATTCGTACTTGTAAATTTGATTCGTACTTGTAATTTGGCAAAGTTGTAACAAATTTATGTACGTTTATAGACTTAGATGTACACATTTAGACTCTTACACATACAATATTTCTGATAGTTCTCTTACCCGATAGGTTGCCAGTTTTAACTTTGTGACCTACCAAGTATGTAATGGAAAAAAATAAAAAATAGGAGAAATGTCTAAATGTCACAGCACAACATTTATTAAACATCTTATATTGTTTATTAAGGCAATTTTCAGAGCACTGAACCCTTACTTGGTAGTTTCATTCTTTTTCACATTAAGATGCCTTTAGGATTCCATGTTCATTATAAACAATCACTGTAAAGCTGCAAATTGTGACGTACAAGTCACACTCAGAACATGTACAAAATTATTTCAGTAAAAGTGCTAGTTTTAATTGGAATTTGCACTGAAAAAAATATATATTACTTGTTCTTAAGGGAGATCTTTATTTTTTTCAGACACTGTCATAAGTGGCAGGTAATAAAAAGGTGGGTGTGTTTGTAATGTTAGCAAAATATCTCATGAACCAGAGACCAAAGGGAAAGTAATTAATGGATTTGTACAGACATAATTATGGCTGCCACAGCTAAATAATTGTAACATTTGTGAAAATAAAAAAATCCTATCATAATATTCCAGAAAGTGAAAAAAAAATCATAATCTTTGAAATAATAAGCAGCTGTGATAAGAAGTTATATCTGTAAGGCTTTTTTACTGTAGAAACCCTCACCTGTCCCTACACAAATAGACCAGTACAGATATAAAACTCACAGATCCTCACAGCAATAACAACATTCAAATTAAGGCTAATCCCACTGTTTCTCTTTTGAAGTGAACACATCGCTTTCTCTTTAAAAGCTAGTTTAGTCTTGCACCATCCCTGCTGATGGTTCTATCACTTACACCTTCTTTCCCTCCCCTTCCGATATGATGTTCTCTGGAGACGCCCTTTTAAACCATTCAACCCAAGAACCATCGTAAAGAGGGACCCCCGGGTGTCCGAGTCGATGAGCAGCCAGGATGATGTGACACGCTGTGACTCCAGAACCGCAGGAAGCCCAGAGAGGACGCTCCAGGTCCACCCCAGAGTCCTTGAAGAGCTTGGCCAGGGCCTCGGTTTCGAGATGTTTTCCGGAAGAATCCAGGAAGGTTGTGTACGGCATGTTGATGGCTCCGGGGAAATGTCCAGGCAAGGTATCTGGGAGCGTAAGAAGAAAAAGCATGATGGAACATAACATTTTAAAGACATTATTGCTTGGGAGATCTGTTCTGCTTTAGTCTGACTTTACGCCGGCTATATATCTGACATGAAAAAGAAAAAAATTGTATAGGTCTTCTGGACGGGTTCTTCTCTAATGAAACGTTTCGTCTCTCCTCCAAGAGACTTCTTCAGTCTGAGAGTTTCAGGCAAAATTCAGGCTTTTAAGCCCTGCCTCCATGTGACGTGACAGGGCTTAAAAGCCTGAATTTTGCCTGAAACTCTCAGACTGAAGAAGTCTCTTGGAGGAGAGACGAAACGTTTCATTAAAGAAGAACCCGTCCAGAGGACCTATACAATTTTTTTCTTTTTGATTTTTTACCTGGATTACTGACATGCATCAGGACATATCTGACATGGCTCACAGATGATTTAAAAATGCTTTGGATGACTAGCTGTTGATGAAATAGCTTTTATATTGAGTAATGAAGAACATAAGGGGCACAATGCACATCCCTGAGGAGCTCCAGTGATCCATTCAATATTTTTGTTGTCTTTCAGCTAACATATATGGCCTCTTTTCTGACAGCTACAGTACAATCATTTTAGTAAATTATTTAGTAAATTAACTGGAGCCAAAAACAAACATATACATATCTGTATTGATACACATGTGGCCTTAGCTTCTGAGCAAATATCATTAGCTCGGGAGATTTGCAACGCTAACATTTCATGCATGGTTTTCTCATGATAACAACATAATATGTCAAAAAGAAAAAATAAGTAGAAACGTTTTATATTTTGTAAAATATAATGAACCAGTGGGTGACATTTAGCAAAACATGGTGCCAATCAGCCTTATGTGTTTTGTATTTAGTTTACAGTTTATAGGCACTTGTGCACCCTAGGGAAACGGAGAGGAGAGACAAAACGTTTCATTTATGGAAAAAAAAACCGTCCAAAAGACCTACTTATTTTTTCTTTTTGACTTTTCTGCCTGGATTACTGAGATGCATCAGGAGACATTAATATGTCATTATCACGAGAAAACCATTGCAAATAATTATATGCAGAAAACGTCCGCTCTCGGCCTCTGTAGAAGAGAACCTGGGGAGGTGGAGTTATGTTCAGTGGAGAGGAGGAATAAAAGTAAAGAAAGGTAGAATACATGTGTGAATGAAAGGAAAAGTAGTATAACAGTGAAGTTGATTACACAGCAGGAAGATCAATAAATATGTCCTGGTTCAAAGTCACGGGATGAGTTCTGTCTGTATCAAGTATAGGGTTCTGGTCCCAGGTTCAAGCATGACAGCAGTCTTGGAAAATCATCTAAACAAACAGCAGTAAGCAGTTTCTCTCATGTTTAAGCATTTTGTAATAAAAAGTGCTGACATTTGGTTTTAACTGTAGTTCTGCTCACCATCTCTGGGTTCTGGATCAGTACCCTTGAACCTGCCAGCAGACCTGCCGTCCACCACCTGGACCTCCTTGGTCTTGATGTTCTCCAGGACGTCCACGTAGCTCTTCACCCATGATGCGTTCAGGGTCGCCTGGAAGTCTCTACGCTCGGGCTTCTTGTACTCGGAGCTCACCGGGTGTCCGTCAGCCTCCCAGAGCTTCATGCCTCCGTCCAGCACCGAGACCGATCTGTGGCCGAACACCCGGAACATCCACCACACCCGGGGGGCGCTGAACGAACCCGAGTCGCTGGTGTCGTACACGACGACGTGCGTGTCGTTGCCGATGCCGAGATCTCCCACATACCGAGAGAAGAGGCTGGAGGTCGGCAGCATGTGGTCAAACTCCGAGCTCTCATCGCAGCATTCGTCTATGTCGAAGAACGACGCGCCCGGGATGTGTTTCTGAGCAAACTCCTCTCTGGTGTTCCGCTTGGCTTTGGGAAGGTACCAGGAGCTGTCGAGAATGCGAAGTTTTGGACCGACGAGATTAGTTCGGACAGCGTTCGCCAGCCACTGACCCGAGATGACAGTACGAATCTGGGCCGCCATGACAGTCCGCTACAGGGGCGCGCCCACAGTGTTTACAAAGAGGGGCGGGGGGTCAGATGGGGGCCATAGATAAACTCAGGGTGGCACACTGAAATCCTGAGACACTGAAATCCTGAGACATAATAGAATTTCAGCTGTTTTATTTGGTTGTTATAAATAGCCTTTTTACAGGAAATATTTACTGGTAGTTATTGCCTCTATTCTTCCTCGGGCCCACACTTGGTGGAGTCACTACTTTAGTACAGTTAGGGCAGCTTTAAAATGCTAAATGCGTAGAAAAATAAAAGTTTGTAAATAAAAACAAAACACTGCCTTAACAAATAAAAGAAGTGTTTCATAAGCACTGTGATTTCCAATTTGTTTGGACATAAGCTTTCTGTAGATCCAAAAGCTCCAAAGGTGCGTCACTGCTTTGGTACTACCTGATACAAGGGTTCATAAGGAAGTGAATTAATGGGATTAGTAGTGTGTTTTGCTGGTAATATTTTGTATAATATAATGAACCAGTGGGTGACATTTAGCAAAACATGGTGCCAAGCAGCCTAATGTGTTTTGTATTTAGTTTACAGTTTATAGGCACTTGTGCACCCTAGGAAAAACAAGTTTCTATCGCTTTCATTTCATTCATCAAAATTATTTATTCATCAAATAACTATAGTCATTCTTTCACAACAACACAATGCCAGAAATATCACAATATGAATGTTAAAACATCTGTCAACTCAACTAATACCTAAGCACAATGAAGTTCATGCTGTAGTCTCAAGCGTCTATTTGAACTTTTGGCCACCAAATGTCCCCAAAGAGGATGGTGTTAAAAAGCTTCTATTATTTAAAAAAAATATAAAAATGGCTATTAGTCAGTTAATTTTACAGATAATGACCTAAATGTGACATGAACCTATATAAGTAATAAGTAAGTAAACTTTATTTCTATAGCACCCTTCACAGACACAAACATCACAAAGTGCTTCACAGAAAGTAAAAACTAATTAAAAACAATAAAACAGATCACAGATATAAAAACAACAATTAAAACACAATAAAAAGCACTTAACTAAAAGCCTGTCTGAATAAAAACGTCTTAAGATGTTGCTTAAAAGAGTCAGTAGAATCTGAACAGCGAAGGGACGGGAGAGAGTTCCAGAGCCTCGGGGCCACCACCTGAAAAGCTTTGTCTCCACGGGTTTTATAATGGGTTCGAGGGACCACCAGCAGCATTTGATTAGAAGACCTCAAAGTCCTGGATGGACAGAGAGGCTTCAGAAGGTCCAGGATGTATTTGGGGGCCTGACCATGAAGTGCTCTGAAAGTTAAAACTAAAATTTTAAAATGACTCCTCAAATGCACAGGGAAGTGCAGGGAGGCTAAAACAGGTGTAATGTGGGCTCTCCTGTGGGTCTTTGTTAATAAGCTCGCTGCAGCGTTCTGCACAGACTGAAGCCGAGACAAGGAGGATTTGTTTAGACATGTAAAAAGACTTGCAGTAATCTAAACGAGAAGAAATAAAAGCGTGAACAACCATCTCCAGTTCCTTCTGTGACACAAAAGATCTCAGCTTCAAATGCTCCTTAAATGATAAAAACAGTTACGAACTAAAATTTTACAATGGCTGTCAAAAGACARAGAACTATCAAAGACAACACCCAGTTCCCTTTCAGTCAATTCACTCGGTACAACATCATGTATGGGAACCACGCCCCTGCGTGTCCTGGCTGAAGCCACCTCTAATCACGCCTTTAGGCAGGTGACGTGATGACGACAGATGTCAGGCTCCGCCTGCACATATAAATATTGTCGCATCACCGTCACTCCTTAGTTATACTGCTCTTCACCGAGCCCAGCTGTGCAGCGGGGCCAACATGTGT